TCATTAAAAGCTTTGCATGTGTGAAATAATTAACAATTAAGCGAGAAGCCATGAGCTACGCGAAAGCACACAGAATGAAATTCATTTCCAGTAAACTTTTGTATTGAGAGACAAAAAAAAAACATTGCTTGCGGTTGCACTGAAGCTATAATACCCTTAAAAAATTAAAAAGTTTCCATACAAGAAAGTGTGGTACGATTTGATCAATATCTTCGGAGATTGTAGCGTTACTTTGGACAATAGTATATGCCTTACTTCGTTAAGATATCTTGTCAAAAAAAAAGTTTCCCATACCAGGACTTTATTTGGTACGATCTGTTTGCCTAACAGCTATATGCTATAGTAATCTGTTCTGAATAATGTATATGGGGATTGTAGCGGTACTTTGGATAATTTTATAATCTACGCAAAATTTCGTGAAAAAATATTTTGAAATAAAAATTTTTTCCATACAATAACGTGATTTTGATGGGTCAGTTTGTGTGGCAGTTATATGCTAAAGAGGTCTTACATCGACGGATTTCAGATCGATATCTCAAAGACTAAGAGACTATTCCGCGTATATACAGAGAGTACGGACAGGCGAACATGGCTAAATCAACTCAGCTCATCACGCTGATCAGCTTGTTCAGAGGGTATAATTACCGAAGAAATCTTAACTAGTTCACCATTAACATATTGAAATTAACTACATATATAAGAATGTAAGATTAAAGTTTACAAAACGTTCTTTTACATAGAAAGATAAAAACGTTCGATGAGGCGGCTTTTCTGATATTCTAGAGAAATATTCTGCGGGAAATGTCACTTAATATGAAAAATATTATGATGATGACTAACTAAGATACTGTGTCCGAATCGATATTGGGCGTTGTAGTAAACAGATCAATTGGTATTTCGAGTTGCCAACACCTTCTTAGACAGTAGAAACGAGACTTAGGTGATTTAAACCGGATTGAACCATTTAAATTACACGCGCAAAGTGAGTCGATAAAAAAATCTTCCTAGATTGGTATAACGTTTTTTATATTCGTGTGAAGTTTTATCTCCGGAAGATAATTAGTGGCTGTTTGACAGCAAATTGTTTCCGACACGAAGAGTTTGTCTATCGATTTTTTAACATGAAAAAAAATTTAACAACGAGTTTGCTTGAAATGGAAACACGGCTACGAAATCATTGAAAATGTTGCATAAGTCTTCTGGGGAGTCTAATTTTTCACGCATAAAAGTATTTGTCTCATGCTAGTCGTCCTTTCACCTCCGTTATTGACGAGTACATCTAAAAAGTTAAAGAAACAGTGCTTGAAAATAGTCGTGTTGGCATCAGAGAGATAGCAGAGGGTCTCAACGTCCCTTATGAATCGGCTGCAGACATATTGGTTGATGTTATGGTTATGCAGCATTTCAATGCTAGACTCATACCAAAAGAACTCAATATTTTACAAAAACGACGTCGAGCAGAGATCGCAAATGCGATGCTAGGCTTCTATGAAGTGTATGCAAAATTTGATTGAGCCCATTTTGAAGGCGATAATAAAGATATGTATTAAAATACGTTAAAATATATATATATTTATTTTTTTGTTAGTTCGCGTCAAATTTGATCAAATGGTATAGTTAATCAAGATGAAGTAAAAGATCCTATGATAGTCAGATCGAGATAAACCGAACGGACAATTTTATAGCTTGCTTAGTATTGTCAATAAGAAGAGTATTATGATCGACGGGTGATCAGGGAGTACTGGGCTGAAGGCATTACTGGAATAAGTATAAGTATTTGGAAATTCTTAACGGGTTTATTAAATGGATTTTAATGCTTTTATAATATAACACGGAACTAATGTAATTTACAGTTGTATTTTAAGTAGTTAGCCGTAGAACTAAATTAAACTACAAATTATATTGATTAAGAATTCTTGACGCCTTCAGCAGCTCTCCTTCATTCTCAATTTTACATATTTGAAACAGCACACCCTGTACTTACTTAATTTCCTCCTGAAATGGCTACTATGTATTATTAGTCCGTAAATTTGTACTTTGTTAAACGGAAACACGCGTATTTCTTTCATTACAAAAACAAAAACAAAGAAAGCAAAAATATTGTATTTTCTACGTAATTTACCGCAGTCGCCTTTCATAAACAACGAGAGCGATCATTGTGTGCCGAAGGTCTACGATTGTGTGTTTATGACCGACTGACTGCCGCGTTCACGCACTGGAGCAGCCCACCTGGTGCGCTTAATCGCTCATATATGCCGTTATTAATGGCAGTGCGCACACATAAAAATCATAAAATTAAAATAATTGCAAAATCTCACATACACACAAGTAATAGACTATGCGTGTGTGTGTGTGTGTGTGTCTGCGACTGTGTTGGTTTTGCAGCAAGTGAGATTTTTAGTGGCAAATTGAATAATTGTCAACGTTCGTCGCTTTGAACAAAACACTTTTAAATCTCTTTTAGTGCACAAATACATAGTAACTGCAACTGTAACTTTGAGTCTGTGTGCACGTATGTGTGTTCAACTCCCAGTCAAACGACACGCACATATGAGATAAAATTATGAGTGTCAATGTACAAAAAGAGATGTGCAGAAATTTTACAGTGGCAAATTAGCAAATGCTATGCAGAGCAACAACAATAAATGTTTTCCCTACAACAGTTGTCTACCGACACGGCACGACGTTGAATGAAAACATCTTAATGAGGCTGAGGAGCTAATTTGCATATCACTTATAGTGACTGCCGATAAAGCCGGATATATGTAAGTATGTACAAGCTACTGTCACCATTGTTAAGCTGATAAATTTGAAACTGTGATTAGAGTTCATTGTCTAGCTGTTGGATAATATAGCATTCTAGCCAGCACAGTATTTATTAAGAGATTTATGTGAATTTATTAGTTTGAAAAATATAACGTATATGAATGTACATATATATGTATATTACATAAATATACTTGTATATGTATTAACCGTTACATTATGTTTACAGTGGACTCGTTGAGTAGCCAATGTTAATTACCCACGCCAAAAACGGCTGCGAGACAAGCAGCCTTGCCTGTTGCCAAGTGTTGTAAATTATGATCAAAATATTTGTGAAAATATATGGTCTAATAATGAGCTTGTTGCTATTTTTGTTATTTAGCTTGCTATATTAGTATCGACTTCACGTGTTTACTAAGTGCTAAATATGGACGAACAAGATTTTGGCAGTGCGATGCCGTTATATTCGATTTTTAACCGCTTCTGGCCCGTTTGCTGTGTATAAACATACAAACAGTTTCCTGTTTTAATTATATGGGAATATTATATTTCCATTTATCGTTGGCAGGGGTTGGCCCAACTGAAGAAAAGAAGTGCAAAACTAAGTATTGAAAGTCGCAATAATAATAGAGGCAGGATTGCGACACGCAACGTCAAGGGCACACACTTAGAAACAAACAAAGTAATTGCAAACTCATCATGCTTTTGTTCATGATGTCAGGTTTTTATATATTTTCCTGACAAAAAAAATCTTAAAAAAGTCATGGCACGAAACTGTAATAATTTCTATTACTCTTGGCTTGTACCTAGGAAAAGAGAGTCAAAAATTACATAATTATGCAGAGGGGACATCTTTGGAGAGACTTTGTTGTCAAAAATGTGGGAGAATGACAATGTAGGCAATGCTTTTTTGAATATCTCATTGAGGTCAGAAAAATAATGCTCTACGATATAGCGACAAAAAGAAGTTGAGTGTATTTTGATGCTTCTGTGAACTTTCTTTGAATGCAGGATTAACGTAACATCAGACCAAATAATGCACTCAAGAGAATGCCATTGATTAGTTGCCTAAATGAAGTTCGATACGTTTATACCCTTAACAGGGTATATTAAGTTTGCTACGAAGTTTGTAACATACAGAAGGAAACATCGGAAATCCCAATAAATATACGAATACATATGTATACAAGTATATTGTATATATTAAAGCACAGTCCTTTAGTTTTTGAGATATCAATCTGGAATTTTGCACACGGCTTTTTTTTCTAAGAATCTGCTCATTAGTCAGATTATGATGTTCGCCGTTATTGGACCACTGTAGCATATAGCTGCCGTACAAAATTAATGCTCAAATTCAGAGTCTTGCATGGAAAACTTTTTATAAGATAAAAATATTTTTACGAAATTCGGCATGGGCCATTATCTAAGGCAATAGTGCAATCTCTGAAAAATTGTTCAGATCGAAGCACTATAACATAAAGCTGCCGTACAAACAGAACGATCAATATCAAGTTCTTGTATTTTTTATTTGTAAAGGGTATTCTAGCATCGGTGCAACATAGATTTTAAGGTATATAAGGTATATCTTTTTTGAAATTTAAGTTAGCTAAACTGTAAAAATACAAACGGAGATAAAATACTTATCTTATACCTTATCATTGGAGCAATATGTTTTGGCGCTAATGCCTACTGCAGAAGTACTAAAAGACTAGTTCTGGAAGCACAGATTTCCAATGTATCTATAATTCAAGAGATGTGTACTATATTGTAACAGCAAGAAACCGACTGAAAAATACAAATAACATTTTTTATAACAGTTATTTTTTCTTGACCTTTTAAGTGAATCGGAAGCAACCCTATACCGTCAGATTTTAATTTCGCTTGAATGGCACGCAGAAAGCGCTTGAGATCCGTTATTGTATCACTATATAAATTTACGCAAACAAAGCGCATACAAAAATATCCATTCAAAATTGCATCAGCAATCAACAAAAATCGTACGAAGATACTTTTTAGCAGAAACAATATGTAGTCCCACAGATCCACATTTTACCAAAATATTAGGTGACATAATTTCCAGAAAATTCACGGCATTAATCCAGGCAATACCGTTTTATACATGCAACACAATAGATATTACGTAAAATTGGCACATTATTGTATGCGAATATCCGTCAATAACGCCAGACTGCCTTAGAATTAATGTCAACGCCATATTGGCAGTATTTACTCACCTTCATAACCAACTCGAATGGGTGTTTGTAGACCCTAACGGGCGATTGGAATTTTTGCACCATTTTCGTTGAGCTTCTTTGTTAATGTATACACTCTTCTCCACTGTTGACAGAAATGTGTTAAGGATGTGTTACTTCTAATAACCGTTAAGCTGGCGCTTATGCTCTTCTGCTGCTTCGTTGTTTGTTTATTGTGTACTTTTTCACTTTTCTCTTTTACCTGCACTCCTTGGCGATTTTATAAGTTCACTTTAAATATTTATTTATTTTTAAAAATTTTTTAATTATTCTTTTTGCTTCTCTCTTCTTAATGTTTCTTTTGATATTTAATGTGGTAGACTCTTTGTTTTAGTACTTGCGTCGTGCACAAAATTACTTTGCTGTCAAAGACTAATTACAAAAGAGCATGTTGATATTTTTAATATTCTTATTTTTACTTTGCGGTGAGCCCTTCAACAAAACAAATGAGTAGAAAAATGCACAAAAGAGAAAGGAAAATTCAGCTTGTCAGACGCCAACCGCCGACCAACTGACGGCCTGACTGCTTTGTTGACTGTGTATTTGCGCTGCGTGAGTGAGCGCTGCTATGGGCTAACGACCGCCACAACGCTTAGACCAACTGCCTAAGAAATCCTTACAAAATTCACAGCGCCCGGAATCGATTTCCGCTAATTGGTCTTTACTTGTTTGGTTGGTCTAGTTTTCTAGTTACTTCTTCTTAGTATTGTATTTGAATTTGTAATTGTTGTAAATGCTTGTTGACGTTTTGCCTTCGAGCTCATTAAGAGACTGCTGGTAAATGAGGCTAACCTTATGCTTTGGCACTTTAATGTGAGTTCGTAGACATTACACAATGAGCACAGCTATTCTTCCACTATTTGCTCATACACACACGCATGTAAATATGTATGTATGTAATGTATTGACTTTCAACTACTTTATATTTGTTTTCATGTATTTGGAATTTTTCATTTTGTTACTTTCGCACTGAACACGAAACACAAAAACACTTTGCCACCGTTAGTTTGTATTCCTTTTATATACTTATGTAAATATTTCCGATTTTACTTTCTGTTAGCGTTTCCGCAAAATCTCAACAAAAAATATACAATTCTGTATTCTGCTTATGAAGTGCACTTCAAAGTAGCTACAAAACTATGTGTTCTTTTCTGTAGTTTAATGCGTCCGCGCCGTTCGCCTGGTAGAAAGCAAATGTAAGCAGCCGTGAGTTGACTCGCTTGTTAACAGCTCTGTACGTATGTACGTATGTATGTGTAGGTAGGTACGTGCATGCATGTTCATTGATTGGAAAACCTACATTTATGACTTCTCTCGCAAGCGCACAAAAACTTATATATACGAATGTGTATGCCTACATTTTAATACACAGTGCTGAGATAAATATTAGCACTCGACATCATTTTTAAAAATTTACAAAGTCATAAACTATTAAATGTAAATATATGTTTCAATCTGTTAAATATATATTATATATATAAATGATCAGCATGACGAACTGAGTCACCATGTCCACCTATCTGTGTGTTCATTTGTATACATACAAGTATATCTGATATTTGCACACACCCCTTTCTCCCCAAAAATAGGTATGCTCATCTGTCCGAATAGCCAATATCGAACCACTATACCATATAGCTAACGCACAAACTGAACGATCAAAATCAAGTTATTGTATGGAAAACTTTTTCATTTCAGCAGATATCTGCGCGAAATTTTTATTATCCAAAGCGAAACTTCAATCTCCGGCTAAATTTTATGAATTGGATCACTATAGGTTAATTTTGTTATTAATTAATAAAAAAATCGTGCGATGCCTCTTTGATCTTTTTTCCTTTTAAGCGCGCCGAGGCTAGACATTTAGCATCCACAATTGTCGTCATGGAGCAATAAAAATCCTTAATCCACTTGAGAATACCCATAGAAGTGCGTAGAAATTTGAAAATGTTACATTTTTCAAAAATTATAGGCATTTGAACAGAAAAACTTAATTTTAAGTCCATAATTTTGTAATAAACTAGCCATTAAAATAGTTTTGAATTAATTGAAGTTTCTGTACATACTTCTATGTAAAATTCAATTCTACATATAATCTTAAAATTTGAAGTTGATCGGATACAAATTTTGTTACTGTCTCGCCAATTGGAAAAACGAAGTTTTGGGAAAAATGTGTTTAAAGTTTCAAATATGTGTAACTGTAGTTGAGCCGGATGTGGGCTTACTATTTTATATCTACTTATATCATTTTCCTCGTTACAAATCAACTTGATACTTCTTTTTATGACTATAAAGCATAGTTTGAGCGAAAAATAATTTATAATAGAAATAAAATAATAAAATAATTTTTTTGAAAATTCTGGTGGCAATACCCCTTAACTAATTTATTTATTTAGTTTGTTTATTTAAGCATGATTTTTTATATACATATTTCTGTATATTTTTCCTGTCTTTTTTATATTTTCCCTTCACAATACTACTTTTCTCGCCACTGTACACATCTTTGTATAAATTGCATATGTATTAGTGAGTATCTGCATCTCAAAACGCTGAACTGTTACCACTTTTATGTGCTTGCACTTGGAATGAGCGAGATTTTATTCTGCTCTTGATTGGAAAAATTCTCACAGAGCACTAAAAGGGGTATAAAAAAACGTCTTGCAACGTTCTTGCCAACAATTTTTTTTTCCTCGATGCATTTCGCTTCCAAACAATAATTTAACAAAATATTGTTTTGTTTTTTACTAAAATATACACTTCGAAATAAATGTTTGTATTATTATTATATGCTCATTAGCATGTTTACTTTGAAATTATATAAAGATACTAGCACACGCACTCAACACTTCCGTCGCTCGCCACTTTCTAATGTACACTTCGTTCCAAAATATTCGAACGCATTTGTACGTACATAGATATATGTATATATATATAAGTATTTATGTAAATACCTGTACGATATAAACAATTTAACACCACTACATTTATATGCACATTCATTTGTATATATGAGAGTAAAAGCACATCAATCATTTGTTTGCAATAGTGGGATTTTGGCAGCAGAACAGCTGTTACCAGCGCTGGTAGATGTAGATACATACCTACCTATATATTTGTTACACATATACATACGGTGTATATTTTGCGATTTTTACTTAATCACTTCCCAGTATTTTAAATAAAAGTGTTGGAAACAGTTAAGAAAATAATTATTTTAATTGAAAAATTAATTAATGAATTTGAAAATAATTGTATCTTATACAAATATATAGGCACATATATGTTATTACTGAAAGTTAGAAAAAAACGTTAACTTCGGCTGCAACGAAGCTGTAATACCCTTCACAAGGGCACTACTTTCAGAATTCAAGGGTGAAAAAAACATTTCTTTTGATTTTGATCGTTCAGTTTGTATGGCAGCTATATGCTATAGTGCTTCGATCTCAACAATATGTTCATAGATTATAACGTTGGCATGTGCCAAATTTCAGAGCGATATCTCAGAAACTGAGGTCTAGGCGTGCGCGTATATACAGACAGATCTATTGAAAGCAAACATTTTTTGTAAATAAAAATATTTTATTGCAGAAAATTTAAAATATCAAAAGTACAGGCTGATTGGTGGAGCCCGCTATAAGGAAAAACATTTTCTATGTATTTGACATTTAAGTAAAATAAGTACACTGTAAGAACAATACATGAGAAATCAATTTTAAATTAAAATCATCATTTAATATATTTCAACGGAATAAATTACAAGAATTATAAAAAATACGATTAACATAGCACTTATGTAAAACAAAAAAATATTTTTCTCAGTGTATGTTTTAGTAATAGTGTAAAAAATATACCAAACATAAGTGTAAGCACGAAAAGTTAACAATTTTCTTTAACAAATATTTTACCTGCGCCATAAAAAAGTTGTAATAAATACTATTTACCGCACATATGTACGTATGTATATAATATACCCTATATGAGTGATAAAACCTACAAATATGTGGATGGTGTCAAAACCTGTCGTCATTTAGTTAAAGACTACTCGAAAATGCGTCACCTATTGCTCACTTCTGGCTACGCCCATAGACTGCAATGCTGTGGGCAGAAAGAAAAGTGATTAATAATTAATAAATTTAAAAAATTTAAGATTTTAAACAAATTTTAGTAATGGAAATTAATAAAAATATATTTTTGAAATTAATATTAAATATTAAAGTTTCTTTAAATAAACTTTTTTTACTATTTCTTCAAATATTTTTCGCTATCAAAAAGCTTACCGGTAGACGCAGGTGTATTCCGGATGCCCGTGATTCGACTTGAACTTGAAACGCATATAAAGGTATTTGCATTCAGTCTTCACCTCATAATACTGCGCAGGCGGATGCTGATTTGTGTAAGTGAAATCACCAATTTTCGCTTCCTTCCATGAAGTGGCTGTGATGCCCTGTAAATATGTAAATATGTAAATATATTTTAATAGAAGAAAACAAAACTGAAACTGTTTTTCGCTTTTCTTGCAATCTTCACATTGCTTAGCCTATATTTAGGAGACATGCGCGAAAGATTATGCAGCAACTCACTCTCTCTCTCTCTTGTAAAACCTCAAATCTAAATTAGTTGCCTCCCTTAACTTCCATCAAAGTCACTCAAATACTTACGTAAACCTCAAACTCCTTCGGCGCACTCGTTGTATCATTATTGGGCGCATTGCCCTTGCACAGATGCTCCAACTCGAAACTCTCCACAAATATCTGCGCGTAAATGAATTATAAATTTCTCAAAACACAAAACCGCGCTCAATACGTGTACATACCGCCTGCGCCAGCTTGATCGTCACCACCGCCTTGGCGCGCTTGAAAGCAAAACAATTGCCCGGTTCCATGCCGGGCTTTAGCATATTTATAGGCGGATTTGCGCTGTACTGCAGCCCGAGCACTGATCGCACCAGATTGCCACCATCCAGCGGCTCGGCGTTTACATCCTGCACCTTGGCGCCCAACTCTTCCGCTGCATAATTGATACGCGCCGGCATAGTGCGCTCCATTAAGGCGCCGCTCTCACCCTCCGCCGTCATGGTGCGTGCGCCCGTTGACGTGCGGCCGACGCATTCGGTTAGACGCAACTGCTTTTTCATCGTGTACAAATCATCCCAGATGCCGGCGAGCCGCTTCTTCAGTATGCCGTCAACGATCTCATTTAAGTGCTTTGTGTCACCTTGCCCCGGCGCCGTGTGCAGCACCACGTGCTGTGGGTGTGTCAGTGCAGCGTATAGATTGTAGAAAACATACATTTTTAACTTGGTTTAATTTTTCAAAATCAATTTTGACTCACCGCTATCTCGTCGACCTCCTCACGCAGTCGGCCGAGTTTGCGACTGTTCTCCAAATTGCTCGAGACCAGTATGTAGATGAAGAAACCAATTAGAAATGTCGATATTAAATAACAAATGCAAACTCTCGTGCGACTTGGTTCCATCGCCTGTGTATTCGCAGTGCGTTTTTGAAGTTTACATTATTTCTTGATAATCAAATTTTCAAAAAAAAAACTTTGATGGAAAAATTTTGATTGTTTTTGTTTTGTATATTCTTTGGAGAGCACAAAAGAATGAGAGGATTAAGGGTATTCACATTAGCTGTTTGGGCTTCTATTATATATATATATAGGAACATATTAAGAAAAGCGGTTCTTGAAGGGCGTAATATCCAGCTGTTCCTTTGACGGGTTTATTTAGTGGACCATTTTGAAGAACAATAACACTAAGGAGCTTATTTCAGGTTTTAAAAGTATGGTATATATGCATAGTTCTTGAATTGTGCTTGGGATACTGAAATTTACTACTTGGGAATGTTTTTTAAGTCTCTCTTATAGTTAGAGAGGTCAGGTTTCTATGCGATCCAATATATTGAACGTATTTGGATGAAGAAAATAACGCAGTGCAAGATAGGTATTATAGATCTGTGCACACAGGGAAAGAAATATAAAGTATAAGGAAAACTCATAACACCAAAACTCACCACTTCTAAGTTCACCACATCTAACCAATGATAGATTTTTGCTTTGAGCTTACTTAATTTAAGTAATCTTAAGAGGACTGAATCACAAAACTTCATTCAACATGCTTAACTCACCACAGCCAAATTTACCAGAATTCATTAACATATTATCAATTGATTTAGTGGCATTTGTGTGTTAATATAATGTGAAAACTCTCAAGTAAACTCACCATACCTAAACTTACCACTTATAAATTCACCACATGTAACTAATGACACTTACTCTCTCAAAGCTTACATAATTCCGCTAATCTTTAGAGAGAATCATCAAAGCTAAATTCAGCATACCTTATTCACCACTGGTGAATTCAGCATATATCACAAACATTATTGATTGATTTAATTACGTTTTTATGTTAATATAATGTAGAAACTATCAAGCAAACTCACGTTAACTAAGCTCACCACTTCTAAATTCACCACATGTAACTAATGACACTTAACTCTTAAAGCTTACATCCGCTAATCTTAAGACTTAATCACCAAAGCTAAATTCAGCATACCTAACCTAATTCATCAAAGCTAAATTCACCATATCTCATTAACATATAATATTAATTACTAATTTATGACATTTTTATGTTAAGGTTATATGGAAAATATCAGGAAAACTTACTTACCACACCTAAATTCACCATATTTAACTATTGAAACTTTTTCTCTTAAATCCCTTAAAAGATACGCAATTCCGCTAATCTTAAGATCACTGAATCACCAAAAAATGACTCAACATAACTAACCCACTACAGGGGAATCCTCCATTACAATAAGCCAGGTATTCTCTAAACACATAACTTGCGCATGCTTAACCGTTTGCAAGAAAAACTCAGAAAAAGAATCTCCTCAACTAGTTTGATTAAAGCGTGGCTTTATTGAAAAAAGAACTTTAGCAAGAATGTATGTGAAGAATGTGTATTCAATCATTTATTTGCTGCTCTTACTATGCCAGTGCAGTGATTAACGCTCCTGTGAACCTTTACGTTTTAGTATTCGAACTTTTGCTTCGGAACAGAGTCAACCAATGCCTTGCAACAGATGTTTGAGAAAAAAGTAGTGAGAAAATGAGATAAATTGCATATGCGTATGTATTTGTTTTTTAAACGCTAAACGCACTAATCAGCACTATTCGTACATACATATTGTTGTTAGTTTTGTAATATCATTTAACAAACAGACATACATACATACATTTATGTTATACTTTTTCAATGAGTTCAATGTGTGTGGGGCAAAAGAAGCGCATGCTGGCGCTCCACATAAGCGTATGTTAGACATACTCTACAATAACTTTAATACATATGTATATGTATATGTATATGTATATATATGTATGAGATTATGCTGCATGAGCGGTTGCACAAAGATTATTTAATATTCGTTTAATGCTGGTGCATATGGGTGTGCTTGGGTGTATACTTGCATGTTTGTGTGTGAGTGTGTGTAATTACAACATTCTAAACACTATCGCCTAATTAATTATAATAGCTTTAATTTGCGTTAATATTATGTTGCTTTGCTATACATACAAACATTGAGTATCTAAATATAATAATGTGTATATTTCTAAGTATATAAGTTATAGGAATAAATTAACATTACATGCAATGCCACAGAGCGCTTTTCGTTTTTTCGTGTTTTTTTGTGTTTTTTTTTTTGGAATAAACGCTGTCCCAACAAAACAAATTCTAAACAATTGCATTATCATATTTGCTATATTTACATACAAACAGTTATCGGTTTATGCGTATAGGTTGCGTTATGTCATTGTAATATGTATAAGTAATTCTAAGTCTGCTTGTTTTTGCTTTGCTTCGTTTTTGACCGACAAGTCGATAGCAGTTATCATATATATATACTATATAATATATATGTTTGTAAAGTTTTGTTTTTTTAAGTAATAATATTGCATTCGTTTAAGCATAGTGTGTGTATGCGTGTGATTATGTATGATTATTGTGGCCTACGGCAGCGCGCATAATAATTCATATAAGTTTTTGTTGGTTTTGTATTTCAAATTAAATTTATGTAAAACAGCCATACAAATCGCAGTTCCTTATTGTAGCAAAAAATTTAAGTTTTTCTTGTAAGCCTTAGCACACCAGCAGGATAATACTGTGGTATCAGTATGTATTCGGGCAGTGGGCGTCGCGGTGTACAACGCTGCTGCGCCTGGCGTATAATATTGGCGATTTTACCTGCAGCAAATTAAATTTTGATAAAGCACAGACTATAAGAAAAGTAAAAAAAAAAACAAATATTTACCCAAAACATTCGCTTCGACAAAACGTTTGTCTAAATGCTGGAGTACGCTGAGATTCTTTGTGCGCACCCACTGCTGCAGTATATCGGCGACTTTAAGCGGCACAAATGTTGTTGTGTTGTCCTTCGAGTCCTTGGTAGGCATAAATAAATATTTTTTAAAATTTAAAATATGAAAAATAAGAAAAAACGTTAACTTCGGTTGCACCGAAGCTTATTATAAGCAAATAATTAAGTTTTCTATAAAGTACAGAATTTGTATGGCAGCGATATGCTACAGTGGTCCGATCTGAATCGATCAATTTGTTCAGAGATTGTACCGTTGCTTAAAAAAATAATACAGGTAAAATTTCGTGAAAATATCTCGGTATATGAAAAAGTTTTCCATGCAAGAACTTGATTTTTGTCGTTCAGTTTGTATGACAGCTATATGCTATAGTGCCCCGATAGTAACAATTCCGACAAATAAGCAGCTTCTTGGGAGCAAAAATACGTGGGCGAAATTTCAGAACGATATCTCAAAACTTGAGCGAATAGATCGCGTATATACAGACAGACGTACATAGCTAAATCGCTTCAATTCGTCACGCTGTTCATTTATATATATTATATATATATATATATGACGTTTTCTTCAACGAGTTACTAATATCGTGGCAAACTTCATATACCCTGTTTAGGGTATACATATATTTGTATGCGACAAACTCCATTATTTAAAGTTACCTGTTGAAATTCCACCGCCACCTGCTGCCGCGTAGCCAGCTCAATTAAACGCTTCAGTTTTGGGTGGTTGCCGTGTTTCTTCGATTCGTGCAACAGCAGATGCTTTAAGTCCTTGAATTCCTTCAAGCCTTTCTGTTTGTCTAGCATGGTGAATATTTGCGTTGCTGTTGTTGTTGTTATTTTAGTCGTTGTAGCAGTATTCGAGACATAATTAAGATGCGATTTGATCAGTTCCAAATTATATGATACATGAAGTTTATCCTAAACAAGAAATAAAAATTAAAAAAAAAAGTTCAATTATTTTCGTAATTTGCACTCACCAGTGCCTGCACTAGCAACTCCTCGCTTAAATTTAAAGTCGGAACTGTAACAGTTTCCTTTTCAGTCAGTAGTAAGTTTTTCAACAGCTGCAATGAGTTTAAATATTAATTATTATTATTCACCACACACACACACACACACTAGCATTTGCTAAACACTCACAAGCTCGTTGTCAAAGCCGCTGTCAGCCGCAGCCGTGCGTCTTAGCTGCGACGCATCCTCCTCACTTTTAAATTGTTGCAACACCTCAGCGTCGCAGGTGCGCGCACGCACACGAGTACGCACGCGCGGTTTCATTTTTAACTTTGGATCACCAGCGCACGGTCCGCTATCATCACAACTAACACTGTCGCCCAGCCACCGGTCGTCCTTCATCATGCGTATATCCCGAAAGGCCGAGCTAGCCCAGTCCACACAGCGCGGCTGCAAGTAATCGCCGATTGCTGTGCCGAGCATGCACTCATCGTGGGCGTCACGCAGTATCAATGGCGAACCGCTGCGACAGCGTGGTGTTCCCGCCGACGTGCCAAGTGTAGCGCGCTTGAAGAGCGCTATGCTGCTGCTGCTGCGCTTGCGACAACGTGTACAATCATTCGTGTCGATGGCCTTGCCAATTGTGTTTGCAAGAAATTCCTTTTCCAAACAATCCAGACACGTGTCGTCGTTCACGCTCAAATCGTCGCAGTCGTTGGTTGGCGCTGCATTGGCTGTGTTGCTGACTAGATGGGTTTCGGTGTGCATGCAATTATCGGTGCTCATGCCGACCTTGGGCGCGGAGCAGCGAAACTCGGCGCAGCTGGCGCTCCGCTCGTCGAAGCTTGTGCTATTACAAAGCGTTGTGAGAGCATATGTTGAGCGCAGCGAATTGCGCGATTTCGATGAATTTTTGGAAGATGTGGACGAGGATGTAGAAAATGTGGAGAATCGTTTCGGTTTGGCGCCTATGTAAGAAAAGAAAATATTTAAGCTCAAGTTGTTGATTTATAAATGTAAATAAGCTTTTAACACACCTGTCACTTTCAATTGACTGCACTTGCCCTCCTCCTTGGCGTGTAGTAGATCACGTCCGAAATTCGAGAGTAACGCATTGGGCAGCGAGTGTGCGGCGTTAAGCACTTTGCTGGTTGGCACAGCATCCACTGTATCGTCCGCCATGCCCAGCGCAGATGCGCGATCGCTTTGTACATGCTCGTAAGCATCGCTGTCGCCATTCTCGCCCTTTATCTGATCTAAATGCATGGTTATTCGCGCAAAGTTCTTACTGAGCATTAGTTGGGATTGCAGCGTTTTAGCGGGTGGCGGTGGCAAACTATCATCGATTGGAGAACTGAAAAGGAGCCTTTGCGCAGCCGCAGCGCCATTGCTGTAGTGTCCTAGCGTCGCTGAATGTCGGCCACTTAAATGGCAGGCATCGCGTTGCATTAGAAAAGCATCGCCGTGTCCGGGTGCCGTCTCCACGGAACCATACTCTACCTCCGATAAGGGGTCCGGTTCAAAATCCATTTCAAGAAAGTCCGTTTCATCATCAGCCATGCAGGTATTCCCAGTGCCATGCCCACGTCCGGAAATAGTATCCAGTGCGAGATCAAAATCGACGCCATCTCCGCGATACGCGTAAACACAATCATCCGAATTAAGCGAAATCTCCTCCGCGTCAACATCCACATCGTCTACGTCATCATCGCCTTCTAATAGCAGTAAATCATCGCCATAGTAATTATCACTCGCGTAACTCAGATTTTCGGTGGAGTTGTTGAGAGAGGCGCTACGCGATACTGCTCCAGCTGCAGCTGCGGCTGCTGAGAATACATCAAAAGTGCAAGCATGGAAATCGCTAGGCGTAGCAGCAGCAGCAGCTGATGCTGCCATTGTATCCTGTGGTGCTGCAGCTGTGTCTACGGTGACGCTAGTCCCACCATTTAACTGCAAAGTTTGCAATAATTATTGAGCTAACAATATTGATAAAAAAAAATTCAATAATTTTCAAACCTTTAACTCTGTACCGCCGTTAATTTTGGACGTGGCAACTGCCAGGCTCATGCTTTCTGTCATGCCAAAGCCTGGGCGTACAACCCCAACTGTTTTGCTGTCACAACCGTCAACTTCACCCCCATCACCACCACTACCAGCATTTATTTGGCCGATGCCGGTACATGACGCATCTGTTGTCACATTTGCCAACGCTACGGTCGCAATGCTTGCTGTGGCCGTCATCGCTGTCGTTGTTGTTATGCCGACATTGCACTTGCTTTGCACATCCGTTGTATGATTATTGTTGTTATTGTTTATATGTTGTTGGCCGCAAGACAACCAGCTGGTGCTGCTACCGCCGACACTGCTACTACCACCGAGACAATTGCATTCACCCTGCACCGCTGCAAAAGCCTTGGTTGCCACAAAGCCAGCGCCTACATGCGTCGATTGGTTACAGCGACCACCACTTAAGTTTTCTGTGTCAGAATTATTTTTGAATAGAGTACCATTACTACCGCTTGAGTTACGCCCTTGCAAATTTTCCATCGCCACCGTTGAGGACGTTAGCTAAGCTGAATGGGTTACGTTAGTAAATAAGATAAAGATTGTCCTTCACACAACTTGGCAATGGACCCACAATTCCTTATAGAAAACTACTTCTGCTATATTCTTCCTATTTTTTGCTATTTCTGTTTACCTTCAGTCTGTCTAAGGTCTCTACGCCGTGGTTTTTCTGTGGCCGCTGCGTATTTAACTTTTTCGATTTGTTCATTACCACTTAGTCACAATCGATGAAAGTTTAGTTGTTTCGTACTGGTTTTAACTTTTCAACATTTTCTTTGTTTTTGTATGGTATTCTTTTATTGCGAGAAGCGAAAAAATTTTCCTATGCATAAAAGTCGAAAACAGCAACAACTTTGACAGAATGTTTTGCGACTCGTTTGCTTTGTCCTATTCTTGTTAGCTTACAATGTTGCCATACCACAAACAAACTGAGCAGGGATTATATTCGGCCGTTATTGAGATTAAAAAACAGTTACGTTAATTAATAAAGAGCATTGTAGTAATTTGTAAAAATATGTTACCATGGAAATGCTAGTTTAGAATGTGTTTATTTTACTTATTGTTTTAAATTTTTATTTGAATTAAAGCTTAATTAAAGTTGAAAGAAAAATTCTTATATTCTCTTCTGATATGTTGAATATGGTAACGCTTGCAATCTGTTTGTTTTTCAAATTGACCGCCGACGAAGAATATTAACAAGAGATAATATCAGTTAATGTTAATAATATATTTTAGAGTAAAAATATATTTTATAAAACACGCAAATGGTGGGACAATTAATTTGAGCTATTTTCATATTGAAAACTAAGGATATAAATAATCAAAATACATATATAAATATTGCTTCTATTAGCAAGTTGTTGCATGTAAGACTAATTTTCGTAATTACTTGTGATAACAAAATCGTACATGTACTGCTTATTTGTTTTTCTTATAGCTTTTTGCGAATGTCTTCATATTCTTTTCGTGGTGCAGTCAAAACATGGATTCCCCGTGTGGAGGAACAAATTGAACCGCAAACCGTAACAGATTCCAAACAGGTGAGTTAAAAGAAAACACGAAGAATGACCTTGAAACACCTAACCGCAATTGTTCTTGTTACATAGCAGCTACAAATTAGTAAGAGCGCGCAACAGTTAAACTCAGATCCCGCGAATTATAAATGGAGTGTAAAACAACTGATGCGTCTCCTACGCCTCTATGGGGCGCATCACTGCCTTTGGGACACACGTCATCCTGACAATAGGAATCGCAAATTGCGTAAAGCAGCACTTATTGATATTACCACGGCTATGGGAGAAGGTAGTACTTGTGCGCAGGTCTTGCAAAAAATCAATGTCTTGCGAGCTACTTATAGGTACGAAAAACGGCGCATCAAGCAGCGCATACGCAGAGGCATAGGCGCCAAAACAAAACTCAAGTGGTTTGCATTAGCAGATTCCTTTCTGAGAAATGTGCCCAGGTCCGAGATAAATAAAAAGAAAGAGGTGCAGATGTGTGTTGATGCGATTATTATATTATATAAACTAACACTTTTTTCTTCGTTAAGGATGCTGATAGTGATTCAGATTTGGAAGATGCTGTAGTGTTTACTATTGAGTCGGAAGCGTTGATTTCTCTGTCGGATGACGAGAGTTTTCAAAACGATGATTCTAACATCAAAGTAAAGCTTGAAAAGGTAATGTTACGTATTTATTATTTCTTTGCATATGCATTCATAACGCACCAAACAATATCAGCTCTGAAAGTTCTTCGTCTTGGCCTCTTTCATTATATTTTCGCTTTTATCATTTAAACACAATTTCATTTCATCACTACTGTCCATTTTTGAAATTTGGAAAAATAGCTCAGTTAACACAAACCCATTCTTTGTTCAGGATAGCAAACGTTTATCAACTGTTAGCTCTGCTGAGGACCTTAGCCCACCACTACGTAAACGTGAAGAAATGTCTACAAGTGTAAAACGGAAATGGACTACTCACGAGTCCTTGCAATTTATTTTTCTTTTACGCTCTTATCCTCTGCTTTGGCAGTTGGACATAAACGACCCCTTAGCGATATATCAACAGGCAGCACAACAAGAAAAAGCGCTCGAAGAGATTTCCCATACAATGCAATTGCCAAAGCAACGCTTGCGCAGACGCTTAGAAACTTTTCTGGCCACCTACCGACTGGAGATAGAAGCAATCAAACAAGACAGCCAGCACAAACCTAGTTTTTCCTGGTGGCCCATGGTAGAGGAGTACTTAGAGACCCCACAATTGGCGAAATTTAGTACCAATAAAAACATAGAAGAGAATAACAAGTGGAAGCTTAATGAAATAAAGCCAGTAGAGACTTCAGCAACTGATGTCCATATTTATCAATCAAACGACGCCTTATGCTTGAGTGCGCCAGCATCTCCAAGTGTGTCGCAAATTTTTTCACCAGCTTCGCCTGCAAACAATGAGGATAGCATTAGTCTCAATGACGCTTACGCCGCGAAGCAGCAAAATTTTACCAATCCACCCTTGAAACTCATTTGGAATGGTCTCGAAGACGACTTGCTCGAGGGTAAATGGTCGCTTAAGCATTCAGTGAAGTTTTTACGACTCTATGGTGCACATCGCTGCCTGTGGGATCTCAATGACCCTAACTATCGCTCACGTGAAATGCGTGCGGCTGCTATCGAGGATATAGCCGCGGCTATGGGTTATGGCCTGGACGCAGATTATGTGGCAAAAAAAATAAAAATCTTTCGCATTACATATATGCAGCATCGCAAGCGTATGCTTGAGGCTATTAAGCAGAATAGAGCGCCGGATATACAGCTGCGTTGGTTCCCCTTGGCCGACAGCTTTTTACGGCCACACATCGGCTTGCGTTCGATCAAAGAGCAAGAGCGCGAAATGCCGCAATTCGATTTTCAATATGTTTATGCGAATCTAAATTTAATTGATCCCAGTCTGCTGGCGGATCTCAAGTGAAGCTTAGGCTAAAAATAATTTCAATAAAAACTTGTAATTTAAGAACATCATTGTATATTTTCTTCGATTACTCCTTCCTTGTACAAAAATATATGTTTACAAGCATTGATCATCACTAAGCCACGTCTTCATTGAACTCCTCGGTTCCCTTCAACTCCACAACCGATGCGAGTGGCCTTAATCTTTTATCTTTCAATTGTTGCCCCCGTTTTGCTATGCAAACTTTTCCCGCCTTTCTGATGCGCTCAATATCCTGTTTGGTACCATAGATTTTCGACGGCTTGCCACAACCGCAGGGGCAAACCACAATGCCCACCTTACCGGGTGGCAATTTGATCTTTGGTTTCGCACCACTAGATGTGGGACCCTCAGCTAATGTATCGTTTGTGCTACGCTGTGCTATTAGAGTTGGCTCTCTGTGATGTACGTTCGCGGTTCTCTCACTCGGCTGGCTACGGCCACGTTGTTCCAGTGTTTTCGATATGCTTCGAGGACCACGAAATTGTAGCATTGTGCTGATGTCACTGCCTCCAGCACCGGGATAGCGAAATGCCTCGTTCTTCCACACATTTCTCGGTTCTTTACGCTTATCTGACTTACGCTCATGTGATCGGGTTTGCTGTACCTTGGGTGGCAATTCTGGATATGATTCGAACGTAAAGTTGTCTTTCATATCGCGCTGTCCTTGACTGGGTTGATGCCGCTGCTGGGATGATTGCCGCTGTAGGTGACGTGGCAACATGTCACGCCGACTCAAACGTTCTGTAAATTGTTCAACAAAAGGATCGTCTACACCAAATCTTCTGTAGTCCATTAAATATGGAACATTTTCGGGTGGATGTTTTAGTGCCAAACTCGTGCCTCTCGTGGGCGTTCGTTCGTTACTTCTTGCGCGTGTGGAATGCGGTGTCCCAGCGTACGGTGAAACATGTTGACTAGTGTATGGTGTAACGCGACGGCTGGAGTGTGGCGAGTGCTGGTGGGAGGTATATGGCGTGTTTGGATGGCTGGAATATGGTGTTGTAGCGCGAGTGGAGTATGGTGTGGCGGTGTGACTGGAGTAGTGTGTATCCAAGCGATTAGAATACGGTGAAGTGGGTCGAGTGGAGTGTGGTGTACCGGCGCGTGTTGAATATGGTGTATTGTTGCGTGTAGAATATGATGTGTTGCTACGTGTGGAATGTCCTGTACCTGGCCGACTAGAGCTTCGTGTTCGGGATATTCCTCTGCCACGTTGGTTAAGTTGTGACATGCTTGTACTATTTAAGCGACTTCTTGACTTTCTATTTAGCAAGGCAGATCTCCTAATCATCTCTTCTAGACATAATATGAGCGCCAGAAGCAGTAGCAACAAGCAAATCGCGACAAATGCACCAAACCAGAAAAGATTCTGTTGGAGAAAAAAATTATGAAAATACAATAAAGATGGAAATGGAAATTAGCTGAACAAGGAAGCGTGTAATTTAATTTAAGTTTTAATCTAATTTCTAATTGAATTTGTACCAACTTTAAACAGCGCCTTAAGGTAGGCAACAATTTTTGAAATATCGATTGTTAGAAATACTTGCTAACGGTTTAGACATTTTACAAAGCTCATCCACTTTTACAAAGCACATACATTCTACGTGTAACTGTCATATTCTCCTAGCTCACCATTGATGGCACCAGACATTCACAAGCCGGCGCCTTTAGGGACTTGTAGAGCTGCGCTACGGGTTTACAGTCGGCAAGCTTTGCGCTCGCTGCATGAGATATACTTCTCCGCAGTTGTTCTTTGCCCGCATTGAAAATTGTACGCAAATTTTTTGATAATTCCGTGATGCCGTTGAAATCTCCCGTGTCATCACTATTGGCTTTCAGTTGAGTGGGTAGGTCCTGTAGCAATGCCTCGACGCGCCAAGTTGTTCTATATAACTTATCCATTTCGCTGGCCACTTGTCCATGCAGCGACAAAGCCATTGTGTTTCCAATAGCGTGTGTACAATTAAGCTCTTGCAAAGCTGTATTTTTACTCAGTCGATTGGCATGCCAAATTAAAGCGAATGGTTCTATATTTTTAGGCGCATACACGGATACCTTCAACATTTCCACATATATGTCCTGTACTATGGTTTTGTTGATGCGAAACCGCTCAAAGTCCTCTGTGGAGCTCGGTTCCGTGGCTGTAGCGCGTTTAACACGCTTCGGCAGATTTTCTATCTCCCTCAAAGCTGCTTCGATACCACTCGTCCCAGTGTCGTAGATACTTTCGACACTCGTGTGATTGTCGTTTTCGAACATTACAGAGTTGCTTATGCAATCGTCGATTATGTCGGATCTGGCAGCATCGAGAATGCTGCAAAAGAAAATTTTTTTTTTTTTGACAAATATTAAGTTTCATTAATTTTTAAGTCTAAATAAGGTATTTTTCCGAGAATTTACCGCTTTTCATCACATATTCCATCCTTTGCCACCATTCCATGCAGAAAGTAGTACATTATTGCCAGCACAAATACCAGATAGAACACAAATATAAAAGCTGCAGTGCTTTCGCGTAAAATATGAACGAAATTAAAAATATCAAATAGAAAAAAACATAACTGCACCCATATTGACTTACGTCAGCGGCAAAATACTTCCAATCAATTTGCATTTGCGGCAATACAGTGAGCCGAGGTACCAAAGTGGCATGAATAGAAGTGCGAGGAAAACTATCTGAAAGGAATACGCTATAATGGGGACCGAAAAAATTCGTGCTTCACCAAAACATTGCGTCAATATATTTTGCTAATAGCAGTGCTAAGTGTATCGGTTAGGTAACTCCAATAGTCCAGCTCCCCACCTCTTTTCAATGGCCGCATAATCCTATATATTTCTCCGAAATCTCAAATCAAATAAGGTAACCTCTCATGGCTGTAATACATTAAGCCCAATATCCCTTCAACCTTTACGGTCTCTTTTAGAAGCAAGACTAACCATCTACTTAGATCTAGCCCTCTGTACGATAGATTACTAGGCTCTCCGTCATTGATAATCTAATAAGTTGTATTTTGTAAATCTTATCATTGAAGAATTTGAAAGAGCTTTGAGAAATCTGAGAAGCACAGGTCCGTCGAAAATTGTTCTACTAGAAAGTCCAATAAACTAGCGATATGTTCGCGAGATGCTATCCATCAGTAAACATTTTTTATAAATAGTTTTTTCTTTCTCACAATATGAGCACCTAAGGTCTTAACTGTGTATTCTAATGTACACTTTTATTAAACTTAAAAAAGTAAGAATCATAGAAATAATCTTGGATTTTGGACTTCAAATATTTGAGAGATAAGATATAATAAAAAAAAAATCGATAAAACTTCAAAACAAAAAATCAGTTCGGGTCTGCGAGCGTGCGTCAATTTCATTTAAATATATATAAAAATCGTTTTATACTTACCAACATCACTAATATGCTTACAAAATATCCAAAGGTTATCAGGGTATCCGAAAACTCGATATATCCAGCGCCCTTTGAGACATCACGCAGGTTTTCTTTAAGTTCATACATCTTATTTGCGCTCTGCTGCAAACTAGTGCCTAAAATGAAGGTTGTAGCAATTTCTCGAAAGCATTACAGAACTTTTGTTTTCGTACCGAGTGCCGCTAATTTAGTTTCCACATTTCTTAAAATTGTATCGAAGGCATTTGCGAATTCCAGACTTTTATCGTTATTTTTGACATGTTGCGATAGCATATCGTCCGATAAGGTTACAAGTTCTCGATAATAGCTATAGAATGCGCGATTCTGTTGCATAACCTGGGGTACCAAAGACAGCGTATTTGTGGAAAAAATTAATTTATGTTTATAAAACGCAATCTGTAGGATTTACCTTGTATACGACATTTGCGAAATCTTCTCTCACTCTTCGTACCGATTGCAAAGCCTTACGACTCTCCATAGTATTTACGATTCTCGCGAATCTCGTCGCATTTGTGTCATAATAGCGCCAAGCTAAAAATTTAAGACATTTTTTTTTTGTTTGAAAGTACTTTTGGGATTTCTGGGTCTCGGCAGATCAATAAAATGTCAAATAGAAACTGTAAATTTTTTTAAAAGATTTAGTGAAAACTGCAAACCCGAATTGAAACAAATTGCAGTAACCTTTAGTTTCTTTGAAAAAAATTGCTCGGACTTCGAGAAATTATTGTTATAAAGAGAATCCCCTTACATGACTAACTTCTTCTTTCAAGTACAAAAAAAACTCCTTAAATGGATTGATAATCTACCATTATGTTGACTTTATGTCGAATTACAAGAAAAAGCTCGTCAAAGTCCCTGTTAAAGTTTGGCTCTCTTTTGATTACTATTGAGTTTACTTACAGTCCAAGAAATGCAACATATAGGCATTACAGTGGGCGAATGTCTGCAATAATTCATTAATATCATTTTTGTAGTTCCCAAAATCCAAATTGTTTACGCTTCGAAAGCTTTCGCCCAAAAATGGTTGAGCTTTTTCTGCAAAAAATTACCTTAAACTTGCAAAGAAACCTTTCAAATAAAAACTACTCAAATACTTTCAATGGCGCGCTGAAATTTGGCCGAGATTTGATTAACGTTCTCTAAAGGGCGTGCAAAGTTGACATTGTCCATATTGCTTATGATGTCATTGATGCTTTCGTCGGCAAGCCTCAGACGCCAAGCGCGATCTTCTTTCGTTTTCCGTATATTTTTATTCGCGGTGAGCATTATAGCAATAGAAAAGCTTAAATGTTAAAAAAAAATGCATAAATGAGTTGCCTGAGAAGCTTATATGTTAAAAAAGTGACTTACAGTAAGAACACGCAAGTTATCACGATCAAAACATAACACATGCAAAACCACATGCTCAATTCTTTACTGATTTCATTGTTCAAGTAGCGATAAAGCGGCGTGCCCACCCTCCAACGATATATGGCATATACAATGCTGTAAATTTATTTCAAATAATAAAATTCTATAAAAAGTGTATGTTACTCACCCGCAAATAGTTACCGAAATCCCTAAAATGAGCAGATAAACCAAAAGTGGATAGTATGATAACAGTGGCAGAAAGTCAGCATTGCGAAAGCGTTCACCATAACCCACACTAGTGGCGTAACCTGCGAGAAAAATTTATTTGCAATGAGCGCTACTTTCTTAAACGTTTTTTAGGGCTTTAAGGCTACTTTTAGGCGCTCATGCTTATGCTACAACTGCACCTACCATCTGTCAACTCATCTGCTGCGGATAGGCCAACAAAAGCATCGCCTATGCTATACATCCATCCTGGTGAGCAACTGCTTGGCTTCTTTCCGCGCGCTAAGGTCAGTTCAAAGCTCCTGGCAATGTTATCGTTTTCCCACATGATTTAGAATATATATATTTATTTCAGTTTTATTTTCTTTTCACTAGGTATTTCCATAAACATACATCTTAGTCCCTTTTTTCTTTTCACAATTTCAGAAATCTTAACTCCAATTTATTTTCTAAATATTTTGATTTTTTTCGTTAAAAGAAATGCACTATATAATTTTTATACTATGTTCACACACAACTATAGCTAATGCAACCACAATGATTATGAATTACAAGCTTAATATATATTTAAAAATTGTAATTTCTGAAATTAGTTTTGAAAAATTTTACATTCGATTTGGCATTGAAGCATACAAAACGAAATTTCAAAAATGTTTGTATTGTCTTCTAATAATTTGGGATTTTTTTTTTAAATTTTGTAATATGAAATAGGGTGCTCATGTTTGGAAAATGTAAGCTTGTGTTGAGTTGATGAAAAATTTCGTATTTTTATATAAAAATTTTTTTTTTAATACTTTTAAACAAAAAATTTGTTTAAGTTTAGGCTATAAAATTTTTATTATAATATAATATATATAATGGAAATACTTAATATTTTTAATAGTGATTGGTTTGCCTTACGATGTAGTGATTTCAATTATGAACTAGTGAAACACTCACTCAATATATATCGTTAATTACGAGTGTATTCAAGTGAGAGTGAATGAAATAAAAATCGTTTTTGTGATGAAAAATGGATCCATTGCGAAAACCCTAATCGAAAAAAATGAAATGAAACCTGACCAACCAGCTAAATCAACGGCAAAGCCGAATAGCCATGACGCTAAGATAATGCTTTTTGTTTGGTGGGATCAGAAGGTCTTGTTGTATTGTGAGTTTCTAAAACAGTATAAAACCATCAATGTGGAAGGCTGTCGACAACAATTCATCAAATTTAAGATAAGCGATTGCTGAAAAACGTCCAGAATTTGAAACTAGGCACGAGGCAATAATTTTCCATCATGACAATATTTACCCTCATATTGCAAGACCGGTTAAAAACTATTTGGAAAACAGCAGCTGGGATGTTTTGGCTCACCCGCCTTAAAGCCCAGTCTTTGACCCTTTTGACTATCATTTGTACCGTTCGATGCAGAACGTCCTCACTGAAGTGCGGTTGACATTAGAACAGAGTATCAAAAATTAGCTTTATTCTTTCTTGACCGCCAAACCAGTGTAGTTTTCTTGTGATGGAATCAACAAATTGCCAGAAAAATTGGAAAACATTATAAAACTTTAAAAATTAAAGGAAAAAAATACTACAAACCCGAACTTGTTAATTTACTAAAAATAATACTTTTTTTTAGACAAGTCTCCCAGCAGAACCCTTTATTCTGATTAATATTTACATATATTCCTGTTTAATTTTGTGTTTAGTACAATACATTTTTCGAAACTTTTATATTTATTATTGCCGGAAAAAACATAAATGTCTAAGATTAATCTTCATTTTGTAGACATCAATTTTAATAACACCACTTCTTGCTAGCTTATACCATCCTTTTTCACACATACTTACATAAATATGTATAAACATACTCAGCAGATATTTAATTTATCTCTTCTTCGCTATCTCGGCCATTCATTACCAATTACCGTTGCTTATCACACCTATGATCAAGCGCAACCAATTGCAATATCCACAAGATCGTCTACCTAATTATCACAAAAGAATTCTTCGATTTCGATTGTATCGTTGTTGTTGTAGTATGTAGAAAACAAATGACCGGATAGAGTCTTATTGTGAAATCAACGTCACACGCATACACATCGACACTAGCATAAAACATGCTTCGGTATCTTTGGTAGTATCATTTTAAAACGCCTTCAGGCAATGCCTTCCTCTCGGCGACAGCGTTTTTTGTTCCCAGTGACTGCACCAATGAGCCAGTGATATATGGTATTTGAGGAGGTCGACAAGGGAGCGTAGATACTTACCATTGAAAGTCATGCATAAATTATCTTGTAAGAAGTGTTCGTTGGTTACAGCAAAAAGCATGAAAAACAGTTCAAAAGTTTTTCGATTACCACATACTTCTCAACTGGTCCAGAACTGGTATTGTATGTGAGTACTTAATCGGTAAAGCGGTTCATAGAACGTTTTGTGTAATATATATTTGTATATAATAATTGTTTTACAACCCGTTAAAGGTGCTATAACCAACTTTTCATAACCTAAAATGTACCATTGTTCCATTTTTATAGATCGAAAAGTTGTATATAGGTATATCTTGCATTTAATCAACATAGTTTGTTGAGGTTCAAATGGGGTCTTGAAAAGCACAGAAAGTCAATGTAAAAGCGTAAGTAGTGTTCTGTCTGTAATAAGTGCTCTACCTTTAGGAAATCCAATTTACTGCTGGGATTTTCACATTGATCGTTTTAGGATCTGCCCTTTATCGCGCGCCCGTCGCACTGTCTGCAGTCGTCTTACAGCAGTATCCAGTTGTCTTGCCTTTTCGAGTTTCCACTGCTGGTGTTTCCTTACGTGTTTCAACTTACTTATACACTTAAGCTGCTGCTTAACTTGTCTGTCTTTTTTTTACTCAAATTCTTTATTTTTGTTTTATTATGACCGTTGCTTCTGTATTGTCTTCGTGACCTTACTGCGTCGCTCTGACTTTTTGCTCATAAATACTTCGCTTATTGCATTTGGTTATCACCTGTTTTGTTTTGTTCTCGAATTTGCTGTCTGTTTGGTTGTGTTGTTGGTTGGCGGCCCATATCTTCCTCCAACAGTTAACAACGTGTCGTTCATAAATTCAACTGTTGCAATTCATCTCGTATTTATGGACACACATCTCTCTCATATATGTATATAGAAATATCTCTTCTTTCCTCAGCCATTATCGCTTGACCACTTTTTTGATTTGTTTTGTCTGCATTTTAGTTGTTGGATTCATGCGGTCGGTCTATGGAGACTTTTGTTTTTTGTTCTTTGCCTTCCTTGTTTCATTTTGTAATTTGTTATGGAGATCTACTTTTGGTTTTGCGGTCGGAAAAAATTTATTAACATTCTTACACGTTACGCACTTTAGGTTTTATGTTTCCTCTATTTTAGACAGAAATCTACCTTCGGTGTTGTTTAGTATATAGCATGCCTTTGACTGCACGTTGTGGTGAGGTAAGGTTCTTATGCCTTTGTTGAGGTTCATTGCATTATCTCGAAATAACTATTATGTAAATGCGGCTGACAGTTTCGTAGAGAGCCTGGTTAGTAGCAGCAACATCAGTGAAGAGTTTTCTTAACCATTCAAAGCTGAGCCCTCATTCCATAAATATCCCTTAAGATTTCATTTTTGTATATCATCCCTTCTACTTTAAGACCTTAGTTCTTGAGGCATACCAAGTCTTTAAAACTCTTTTGATCTAAATTTAGATTTTTTTCTTGACTTCAATCATCGGGTAATGAAATCTTCAACCAGTTGAGATTTTTGAAAGGAGGTGGTAAACCTGTTATTCTTTTAAGTTACCTCGAACTGTGTTTCGTGAAACCGCAGTCTTCTAACAGATCCCCCTTTGAGACTCGTTGTTTCCACGATACCTCGCCAAATTAGAACATGGGATTTGTATTAGTTAGTCAAAGGTTATTTTAGATAGACCATAATTTTCGATTTTGAAATTTTCAAAAAACGACTACTTTTTTGGAAAGCCGTCAATTTGTCAAAAAAGTCAAAGTGATCACCCAAGTGAATATAAACCCTTAACAGATTCCTCAATATTGATTACAAGACAGAAGCCTTGTAATGCTTTGAGGTATTTACTATCTCAATTAAATTTAATTTATTATAAGTTTGTTTAATGAACTTAAGTTTCATTGAGTTTTAAATCCATTAAATTATTCTTACGGTTTCTTATTTGCCATTATATAGACTTCTCCATTACGCTAACGAAGTCTTTGCCGTGTCATTGCCTTTGGCAAAGACTGGGCCAAATTTAAGCGAATTACCGACTGCCTCTTTGATTCTAACGATTTATCATTTTTTCTATCTTTTTCTTCTCGCATCAACATTTGCACACACATATGTATGTATGTAGCTACCAAAAAGTCAATGTCATCGATTTCTCGTACCTCGTGAGCCACGATGGCTATTAGTGTGGCACGTACCGACTGCAAGAATTATGCTTAAGAATCAGGAATATCCAATGTGTGGCGCACTTAAACACGACCGCTTTTCGTGTAAGCCAACTAACCAGTTTCTTGGCGTGTCACAAAGCCAAGCTCGACCACAAAACCAATGCTGCGCTTGAAGCCGAACAAACATGTTCGAGAGCAAACACAATCGAACACAGCGGTTACGACAGCAAAGGTGTGCGCGGAGCCACAGGTAAAGCCAGCCAGACAACGAGACAGCAGCCAACTCTTCACTGCTGAGAGTGTTAAGGCATACAGTGGACTCGCGGGGCGCAAAAGGTGACTGTGCGGCGCGTATTGTTGTTTGTGTATTGTCTTATGCTCGTCTTTCTTTGCAGCCAACAAATGGCAACGCGCCTAGACTTGTTGAAGCCGGTCTTTTCGTGCGGTCTGTAGCAGCTGAAGCAAGGTATGTTTCGTGTTAAGAAAGTGCCGCGCCGGGAGAGTGTTTCAGCGTACGATCGATCTTACCAATGCAGTGCTCAGCGGTTTGAGCGTTTACTCGGAATTCAGTTACTTTTTAACGTTGAACTTAAGCGCAACTTGATTTTCGGAACGCGTAGCCGCGAATTTAATTTTAAATTTAGATCTAATAGAATGCGCGAGCGCGGGTACGAGAGTGCAATCCAGCGCAAAGCAAACACATATATAGTGCATATAGTACAAAAATCTTGAAAGAGACGTGTTTGAGGCGGAAAAATGCTTAACAAGATCCGTGTGCAAACGCTTAAGCATAAAAGTAATTGTTATGATGTGAGAAATCCAATAAGAAAATAAATAATAAGTGAAAAAATTGTGTTTCAAAGCTCATAAGCAAAGATAAATATTTTAAAATGTAAATAAAAACTAGAAAAAGTGCAAAATATATCAATAAGTGTCAATAATATAATTATTTTTCATAACAACTAAACTAAATTTGTGCTAAGTTAATTTTTTTATTTACACAACACTTCCATGTGTCAAATTAACATTTATTGCTATTATTTCATGTGCTAAATCGCCTGTGTAGTCTTCCTCAACTGGCTGAGTCGCTAAATTTGGTCATCTGTTATGGTAATTGCGACTCAAAACCGCTGGCTGACATTTGCGAATTTGTGCAATAAATGAAAAACGTGCTAATTACACGATTCGAAGTGAGTTCAAACGCAAATTCGTCAGCAATGCTTTATATAAATAAGTGAAAGGCCTCAAAAGGTTTGCAAAATAACAATTCAAATTTCAAAATAACAGTACTAAATTACCCTTTTCCATTCATAACCCAAATTTTTAAAAACTTCACATAATTTTAAAAAATAACAGTATTTCACTAACCGGCTCAACTAAGCATAAGTAACTAAATTTCAACTATAACAAAATCACCTGCACCGTGAAAATCTCAAAAAAGTGATTTCAAAACATCACATCAACTTCAGCAACATTCAGCATTGCAATAAAACTCTAACACTTCATATTCCATCAAAAAACACTTCTATCATTTTGGAAGCATTTTTATGTGGATTTACGAAACGGATATCCAAATGAGATTTCATTTTAGCGATTAACGGATATTTTTTACGTTATCTTCAAGCGATAATGTCAAATAAGTGAGTAGAAATTATGACTTCTTTACTATAATCCAACATAAATGTATTATACATTGCTTTTTATACCCTGAACAGGGTACATTAAGTTAGCCACGATGTTTGTAACACCAAACAACAAAAGAAAACATCAGAGACCCTATAAAGCATATATGTATATAAATGATCAGCGTGATGAGCTGAATCGATTTAGCCATATCCGTCTGTCTGTCCGTCCGCCTGTATATATGCGAATTAGTCCCTCAGTTTTTAAGAGATCGATCTTTTGCTCCTGTACTCTTCTCACTCTGGGCTCATTTGTCGGAACGGCCGATATCGGACCATTATAGCATATAGCTGCCAGACAAATCATACTACTTCATTTGACGAGGTGTTTCGTGAAATTTGGCATGGATTATTGTCTAAGTCAATGATGCAATCTCCAAAAAAATTGTTCAGATCAAGTCACTATGGCATATAGCTGCCATACAAACTGACCGACCACAGTTTTTGTAATGAATCTTTGTATATGTGAAGGGTATTATAGCTCCGGTGGTTAACGTTTTTTCTTGTTTTCGTTTAAGTTTATTTTATTGACATATATTTTCATAATTTTAAATATTTTTTTTAATGTAAAGAGAAATTCAAGAAAATATAAGCGCTGAATTTAATGGAACTTTTCTTGTTATCATTTAGAAAAATTTAATTGAAAATGCCAGAGTTGCCATAATTTAGGAAAAGTCTAAGTCCAGATAAAAGATTAATTTTAAAATTATTGTTTTTTTTATAGTGTTATAATAATATTCTCCAAATCTAACAGCTGATGTTTTACTAGAATATTTTTATTTGTTTTAATATTTTTAAAAATATTTTTTAATATTTTTTCAATTTATTTTTTTATATTTAAAATATTTTTTTTTATATATTTTATTTATATATATTTTTTTTTGTTTTATATAAATTTTTTTTTTGTTTTATATAAATTTTTTTTTTTGTTTTATATATTATATTTTTTTTTAACTCCTTTTATATATGTGTAGATATTTTTATTAAATTTACAATATTCATGAATAATTATTATATTTACATATATTATTGTTTTTTTTCTGATAAATAATATAATAAATGCCAGTCCTAATTAAGTTGCCCCCGGCTAACAGCATACACAAAAGTATGTATATAAATAAATATTTTCAGTGACTTTGCAAAACTAGTTTTGCAGCTGATTAATGTTCCTTCAAAACTTAGCTACGTACAAACATACAAACTGAGACTTAGAGCTCAACAAATATAGCTGTGCTATCTTTTTTGTGTGACACAAGATGACTCAGTTTTCGAACCCATTAAATTTGCTAATTCACACAATGAGATTTTTTAAATTGCACAGAAAATTGAAAGTAATTTCATAGTTACCTTGTTGAAAATTGCCTCACAATTGGAGAAGCATGCGTACGCACCACTACAAATGTACATATATTTCTACTTATAACATTTTTGTGCTAACTACACCGTGTTTGGTAGTAATTTGTTAGATTATCGTGCTAAGTGTCAGAAACTTTCGATTTTTAAGTGGGTGTTGCTTTTTGAAATTACCTACAGCAATCGAAAATTGTTATTCTTACAGAGGAATAAGCTTCTGGTTCTACGCTAGACACATTTTTATACGATATTATGATCTTGTTCGAAATTTGAAGAGCAAAAAATCTATTTTTCTACAAAAAATTGAAATGGTTTGGAGTAAAAGTTTTGAATTCTGTTAATTAGACATCGGAGTGCAATGCCGGTGGTGTTTCGAACCGAAATTCTTTAGTGTCTTTCATACAGCGTTTCTCAACACTCAAAAGGTATCGTATAGCAGTAGAGTTGAAATTTTTCGAGTAAGTCTTTTTCTGGTTATTTGAAGACAGCCTCTTCGATCATATTGTAGCTGTGCTGGAAATCTCTTCTGAATTCTGATAACACATTTCAGAATAAACCTATTAAAGGTTTACTTTGTTAAAAAATATTTTCTAGATTCACTGAAAGTTTTGTAAAAAATCGAAGTATGTTCCAATAATGTTTAAAAATGCTCAGTTGAAATTTTGTGTATGTTCCAAACACAGTACAGACAGTTAAGATCAAGTTTTCGAGAAATTCGTTGTATGAGAATAAATTTCTTAACATCGGAATCATTGCTATTTTTAAAGTGTATACCTTTTTTCGAACAACCAATAGCTAATAACATAAAAAGTCACTCTTTATTGACATTTATTGATTTCCACTTTCCAGAAATGGGCATTTTAGGGGTGTCGTTCATCGCAAACGCGTAATATTGCTTTGAATAAATCAATAATTATTCAGAAATGTAGCTATAAATATGAATTTCTTAAATGGAAATCCGATAGGAATCCAGCGCTAATGAATTCTACAACAAAAATAAAATTATGAAACACACAAAAATTATGGGCTTTTAAAAAAAGGCGAAAACCACTCTGTAAGCAAATGTTTATATACTTGTATTTTAACTCACACATACATCGCGAGGTGTTACCTTCCCGCTCTCTTTACACAGATGTTTTGTCTCGATTTGGTATAATTCATTTTGGCCGCTTTTGGCAGTTGCCATTTGCAGCGCAATTAATGTAAAATGCCAAAAATATTTCCTCACATTTTTTTTTCGTTTTTTTTTTTGAAAAGAGGCCGTTTGTTTATAAACAAATGCAAGATTTTGTGGGAGTGTTATACGTTATCAGCGTCACCTTTTGCTCGGCTTCATTTAAGTCGTGCTTGAAAGTATGTCAGCGTGTGGTGTGTGTATGTATGCATATGTTTATGTGTTTCTGACTAAAAATATTCAAGTGTGGGAGCGCCTCTGCTCGAATTTGCAGGAGCAGTCACATTTGAATTAATTTAAATGTGAATCTCAAGAAATTAAATACAATAAATTGGTGGCTCCAATTTTTAATCATGAAATATGAACTATAACTGAGTAAATTGTGAGAGAAAAACATTTAAGTAGAAAAAAATTTAAAAAAAATATTATGTAATGCAAAAATAAAAATTCATAAAACAGATTAAAATAGTATATAATAAAGATAAATTACATTATATAAAAAAAAACAATTAAGATTATTTAAATATTGAAAAAAAATATAAAAAAATTACAAAAAATTATATTAACATATATGTATTACAAAAAAAAAAACACCAAACAGTTAAACAACCTTATAAATAAAAGGTGGTTTAAATACTTAAAAAAAATAAAGTGATATTAAAAAAATTAATATTTATATTAGAAATAAAAAATAAAACATTTTAACAAATTAATTACAAAATAATAAAAAAACTAATTTTAAAATCTTTTTAGTTTATTTATTAATAAACTAAAATGTTTATTGTCTTTAAAAATAAAAAACAATAGTAAAATGCTAAACAATTCCTATTAAAAGATCAAATATTATATAAGGCAAAATAACAATTCATAAAATATATTAAAATATAATATAATAAAAATAAATTACATTATATAAAAAAATTAACAAATTCAGATAAAAAACAAAAAATAAAATAAAATTACAAAAAAACAATATTTACTTTATAAAAAAAAAAATGCATCATATAAAAAATTAAAAAATTCAGATTATTAAATATTAAAAACAAACAATAAAATAAAATTACAAAAAATAATATTTATATTATAAAAAAATTTAACAAACTATAATCAAAAAAAAAAAAATATTAAAAAAATATTTTTAGTTTATTTATAGATAAACCTCAATGTTTCTTTTCTTGAAAAACAAAAAACAATAGTAAAATAGAAAAAAAATCCTATTAAATGATCAAATATTATATAAGGTAAAAATAAAAAATCATAAAATAGATTAATTAATAATGTAATAAAAATAAATTTAAAAAATAATAATAAAAATTAATTCAGATTATTAAAATATTTAAAAAAATAAAATAACAAAAAATAATAATTACAGTCAAAACATACAATTAAAAAATTGATTAAACAAATTTTAATAATCAAAAAGTTATTATAAATAAAAAAAAAAATTAAATACAACAATTAATTCAGATTAATTAAATATTATAAAATAAAATAAAAAATAATAATAATTACATTAAAAATTTACCAAAATACATTACAAAAAAAAAATATTGAAAATATTATTTAAAAATAATTTACAAAAAATACACAGTAAATTTTTAGTTTATTTATAGTTAAATAAAATTTTTTATTGCTTAAAAATAATCAGCAATAGTAATAAAGTTCAAAAATTACTCTCAAAAGTTTTGTTCGTAAATTAAATTATTGCTATTGCTATTCTTTAAATTAGTTAATAAAGAGATTAAAATAATCGAAAGGTAACAATAAATAATCATAAAAAATAGTTGAAAAAAGAAGAAAAATTTAATTGAAATTTTTTTCGTATATTAAATTATTTATATTTTTTAATAAGATAATAAATAAATTTGTGGAAGTTAAAAAAAAATAAATTGGAAAATGTAAAATAATCAAAAATTAATATATACAATATAAATAACTTAGATCTCTAAATTCTAATATTTTCCGATATTTGGCAATATGGTCTAACAAAATAAGTGCTGGCGATTCTACAAAGCCGAACAAAACCTTGAAATTCTACATATTCACGTCCTCTTTTCCAATATTCATACTTTATATACATATATGTATGTATCTATGTGCATTTGTATATGCGTGTTTGCATGTATGCGCGCAATGTAGCTTTTTACACGTTCACTGTGGCATGCCACAATTTCTAGGATGAGTGCATTCTCATTCTGTCGCTGTTGCTGTTGTTCCTATCGCTATTCCGCGTAGTTATTATGTTGCACGCGAACAACAACAAACACGCGCATAGCTGTAAAAACCACGAGCGTTTATGTTGCTAATAATAATTAGACAGGCGCCAATGAGTTGGGGAAGCTGCCACATACTCGCAATTGTTTTTGCCTTAAAATTTGCATCAGTGAAAAATATAATATTTACGCATGCAGTTCAAGAAAATTATTTATAT